CCTCTGAAGATCCATATAAAATGTAACGTGATCCCTGATGAATCCACATTATCTCAGCAACACAATGATAACAGCTTTCTAACCCTGGTTGTTATTGTACAGTGGCTCATATATTCCCTATATGAAACCACATTTGGATTTTCATTTGGATTAGCAACAAATTGTTCATATACACTCAGATAGAATTCCCATAAATGTGACCTTTTTTTTTTTTATAAATCAAAATCTATGGATTATTTCCTAGGAAATCGGTGAAAATGTCGATAAGATATTGTCTTACAATATTAAAATTCAGCATAGAAACCTTTTTTAGTGCTATGAAAACATGATATATCGTCTTATCAGCTGTTACACAAAGCAGCTAAATGTATTTTAGAACTAGGATGGCTCTCAGTCGAGTACAAACAAAGTGAAATTCAAATGATGATTTGTGATTTTTACTCATTAATCTGCCAACTCGTCCTTTCTACTGCTCACACGAATAAAAAAAATCTCCACAATATTAAGTGTAAATATGGCTTCAGGAGTGTTCACACAGTTACATGGTGCTGTGAACCCCCCCCCCCCCCCCCCTCCCTCCTCCTCACACAGTAGCCATTGTCTCCCAAGGCCTTCTGGGGAAAAAAACGCTCGGCTCGAGCCTGACACCGCACCACACTGGGAAGTCGATGCGCACAGATAATTGTCTTTTAATCACAACAATCCCTTTTTCTCTGGCCCACGTTCGTTTGTCTCTGGTTCGACCTTTGTCTCGCAGTTGTAACTCATCGGCCACAGACTCCGAACTGCGGATTTTGTGATGGAAGCTGGCGAAGGGGCCTCGTAGAGGGAGGAACTTTGGGGGAAACTTTATAAAAATAGATCTTTGTTTGTCCACAACTCAATGACGTGAAATCATCATGTCCCTGAATGAAGCCATAGCTTTTGATGACTGACACTGATGTACTTTTGTTAGTTGATCTTGACTAGAAAATCCTCATCAGCAACAAACAAACAATTGCAACTGAATTAACGCCTTTAAAGAAAGTCCATCTGGAAGTGAAATCAAAAATCAAAACTTTCCCGTCTCAGGTCCCGCCGCCTTCACGAACGGCCATAAACACATGTTTTGTGAGCTAGTTTCTTTCTGCTAGCTCACCGGGGACTTTATAGTCGACGCGCCTGATGCTCCCAGTTAGAAAAGAGAGGTGACGGGGCCTCTGCAGTGGCTGCATCTAATCTCTGGAACAGTTGACCTCTCAGTATCAGAACCACTCAGAACCTAGAAACATTTAAATCATCGATGAAGAAACCACTTCTTCTCCCTGACCTTCAAGTCAAGTTGACTGTGAGACGTTTGTTTCATCGGCTACAGAGGAATATTTTAATTCTCAAATATTTATAATGTTTCTATTGTTTTCAGGTTTTATATTCTTTAAGTTTGGATTTTAAGTGACTTCAGCATGAAACTAACTAAGTGTCATCCTGTCTCCCTCTGTTAGTTTGGATTCTTTTAACAGTTTCCATCCTCTTGTGAATTTTACAGATAATAAAGTCCTTTAAGTTAAGTCCTCATGCAGAAGTCCACTGAAATACTTTACATACATTATCCAGCAGCTTAACACACAGCTTGTTTATTCTAGTTTCTGAGTTTAATATAAATGTGTTGTTAGTGATGATCTGCTCGTTTAACTCAAACAAGTAAAGTTGCAAATTCAAAGCAGCTGAGTTAAAACTCTGTAAGACTGAGAGCTGTATCAGTGTCCGGGGTCGACAACCTTCATTTACACTGCATCTGTTTGCATTTCCAACACCCGGCAAACCATCATTGTTTCTGCGGTCAGAGTAAAACATTCACAGTGTGAACAAACACACACAAGCTGCTTTTCCAGTATTGTGGCGTAGATGTGGAGCGGTGTGTGTGGAGAGAGCGTGTGTGGAGAGAGCGTGTGTGGAGAGAGCGTGTGTGGAGAGAGCGTGTGCGGGGAGAGAGCGTGTGTGGGGAGAGAGCGTGTGCGGGGTGAGAGCGTGTGTGGGGAGAGAGCGTGTGCGGTCGGGTAAGGGGGCGTTGGGATTGTGCTGGACAGAGACGGGTGACAGAACAACACAATGACAATGGATTCATTGTCCCTCTGCCTTCTCACTGGACAGAAGCAGTGGATGGCTTCCATTTGCAAACAGACCAACAGTTAAAGAAACGCTCAGACTTTGGGTTTTTATTGTTCCACGTATCATCAGGTTTTTTTAACTGTAGTCATTTTACACTTTGGAACATTTTTTCGGTTACACACGTTTCTTTCTGAAGACAGGAGCTCGACTGAGAACTTTGTCCTGGAAACCTTTTACTGGTTACTTACTAACCTTAGCTGACTAATAGGACAATGTTCCTGTTACTTAAATTCTGAGGTTTTAATCACTGCTCCTCAGGTGTCCCACTGACAGCCAGTCAAAATGTCCATAGTGGCAGACTTGAGATAACATGGTCGAGGCCAAAAAACTCTTTTAGTGAGGCGACGGTGACCTTGACCTTTAACCTTCGACTATCAAAATGAACTAAGTTGATCCTTGAGTTAAACTAAACGCTTGCACCATAATTCCTTCAGAGTGTTCTGTCCTGAGTTATATTTCTTTAAAAAAAAAACACGAGACACAATAAAACATAAAACTTTAGTATCGCATCAAATCCCAACTTATACTATCAAGAGATCTTACAATATTAAAGACAAACCCAACAGGTCCCACAACGAGCAAACATTGTCGACCGTGGAGAGAAAAAAGTCCTTTTTATTCCAAGATGATTTTATTATGTTTAACTAATCCATTAAGGGCGTCACCAGGGAATTTGATGGAGAGAATATGAAGTATTGCATTAAAATGTATAATGACCTCATTAAGGTCATTGAGCCACAGCCGCCTCACGCTGCTGTCCCAGTGTCACATGGGACTTTTATTCCCAAAGGTGAAACTAATCTGAAGTTTGTCCCTTGGCTTTGGTTTCCACACTGGACCCCAACTGTCATTGTGCGGTTTGGATTTGTGAGCATGTTTAATATGCAGGTCACTTTGTGTCACCGCAGACTTTGGATAAAACTACTTTCAAACGACTGAGAAACTACGTATTTCTGATTTTGCTTTGAAGAAGTTGGTTTTAATCACTGAAACATAAACAGACAGAGCCACGACCTGCAGACTGTTGTGATGTGGATTTGCACAAAATGGCAGTTAACGAGGGTGTGATAAAAAAACAAAAAACAAATAAACACTGAACTCAATGTTTCGATGATCCTTTTTTTAAAGTGCAAACATTTTTGAATAATTCTTACTTATTCTAGTTACCTCTTATCTTCCAGTTCACATTCAGCTGAATACATAATGCAGTTATCAAACAGAACAGGCTCCACATTACTTATTATCTACATATCATCAATAGCTGCAATCCAGTTATATCTATTATAGGAGGAATTTATCACATATAGACTGTATTAATAGAACGATGTGAAGGAGCCAATAACAATTGTCCAATCACTGCAATTCTGTTGCAAATCAATTATTTTTAATGGAACATTTTAACCCCAGAAATCAGCTCGTTCAGGGATTAAATCTGATAAAAAAAGTAAAGTAATAATAATCGTAGTTCAGACAGCAGCAGAGCTCTTACCTTATCAGCTGATCTGGAGCCAGTGAGGAGCTCAGAGTCGTCTTTTCTCACTTGGCATTTGCTTTCTCTCCCGCTCTCCCTCCCCCCTCCTCTCTCCCTCTCAGCTGATTGGATCTTTGGCATTCAGAACCTGTGATGTACGGCCAGTGGACACTTTCACACAGCGCTCAGGCTTCAGATTTTCAGTCCTGTAATAATAACACAGAAAGAATCATTTTTCCTTTTGCTTGAAGTTTGCAGTTTTTTAATCTTTTCTATTATGACAGGGATTCCTGTGATTAATTAATGAAAACGTGATCAATCAGATGATCAGACAGCTGCTAAACTGTTTTGCCTGATTATCTAAACCACTGGGAGATAAAACTGAAAGTAGATCTGAAGTGTCCCCAGCAACCTCTCATCTGTGCACAGGCATCACTGTTCCCGTGTCATGGTGTCAACTTATGGCCAAATATAAATATTGCTGCAGATGCAGGATTTGGTTTAGTTTCTTCAACATTCAAAATGAACAAAAAAAAATGGACAAATCTAAATAAATGTATATTATACTTTAACCTTTAGGTTAAATTAAGCAACAGAATTTGCTAATTGCTGCACCCAACTTTGTGTAGAACTGTGGAGATGATTTGCACAAACCTCGGTCACGGTGCCCGTCCTGTAGGAGCAGGGACCTGAGAACGTACAGGTGAGAGAACAGAGAAGATGGCCACCATGAATCGGAAACACAGAAAACCTGAAACAGACGACATTGGGAAAACTCAAAACAATAGCGTTTGATTAAAGTCTGACTTTAAGTCACGTAATTATTTAAAATATTCTTACCTGTATTAAAGGGACAGTTATTCACATCAGCAGGTTTCTTTAAAGGGACAAACACTGATATTTCACCTTCTTAAATTAATATACACTCATAGTATTAGTAAGTACAACAGTTATTAAATTTACCCTTAAAGCTTTTCTAAAATCCCACCTGACACTCTTCTATTGAAGGCTGTGCGTAACAGTGTGCAGTGAAGATAGTGGAGACACGAACACAAACATTTTATAAAACATGATTTAGTAAAAGAAGGAAGAGATCTCACCTCAGCAAAGTTAAACATTTTTAAAGGTTTACGATGAAACTACAATGCAAGTGTTGATTAAACTCAGCAGTACTTAATGAAGCTGTAATTTATGATATTTGAATGTAACAATACCAGAAAACAAATCATTAAAATTGAACTGTTTTTAACAGAAATACCTGAGTCCAATTAATCTTGATGAATTAAGTTCAGCTCCTCTGCTGACAGAGTGTTCCATTAAATCACAGACCAGCGTGATGGTGTCATCTAGTGGTAAAACTCAGCAAGTCAAAAACAGTAAATGGCCTGGTGAAGGAGACATTTATTGTAAAATTAGAAATCATCACATCACAATCAACATTTGCATAATACAAGAATTCTACTGCTGCGCTGTACAATATACTGTAGCTTAAAACTGATATTGAGAGTACAAAATAAAAGGTAAATATAAAAAAAAAAAAACATTTTCACTGAGACTGTATTGTTCCTCAGTTTTCTAAAAAGACTGCAACATAATTAAAATCCATAGGTTTTCTTATAAAAACTGTTTTTTCACAAACAAAGAAGACAAAACACCCATTAACCCCTAAACATCTACATCTGTTTCTGAATCACAGCCAAAGTTGAGACAAATCAGTTTATGTGTTAACATTAACACCTTCATGCATCGACCTTACAAATCAACATGTTCAATTCTGTACACTCTAAGGCACTTGTGGCAGCCACAATCTTTTATACATGAAAGGTCACAAACTATTTTGTTTGTGCACCTCTTCCCTTTTGGAAAAGTTTACATACACATTTCATTTGTTAAACAATATAAAAATCAGCATAGCAAATTAGCAGTGTGACTAATATTTACAGTTTAAAAAATAATCAACTGGTCCTTTTCTCAAGGCGGATTGAAGCTGCATGGTTTACACGACCAGGCTCTCCCGACTGACAGCTCCATTCTGTAAGATAAGAAAAGTGATGTTCCGTTAAAAATGTCTAGGGTAAAGCAAAAAACAATTTGTAAAATTTAGATGAAACACCCTAATAAAAATAAATCACTAGGATTATATTCAATTTCTGCCAAAAGATCCTTTTCACCTAAATCTTACACACTGGACCTTTAACTTTAAGGCAAAAACATTCCTTTAACAGCAAATGTTAAATGTAACTTGAGGTAAAAATGTTGTTTTAAACTATTTTCAGCCAGAAAACACATCACGTAGTTTGTTTAAATAAGAAAAGACGTTGATTTTGTTGTTTGTATCTTGAATGCAAGATTCATGAAGTTGTTGCATTTGAATTAAGCTTGATGTGTCGGTCCTTCATCGATCATCATCGTATTTCACTCTGATATAGTTTTCAGAAATGAGTCTTGTTTGTTTTGCTGTGACTCACCTTACGGAGGTTGCTTCTCTTTGAAGATGAGACACTTTCATCTTCGCTGTAAGGTGGCGGTGGAGGGGGTGGGTAGTCATCACGGCGACCGGGGTATCCAGAGGGTGGGCTCACAGGGAGAGGTGGGGGCCCACGATATGCCCTCCCCCGGTCTGAGCGGTCACTCTCGCTGTCCAGGCGTTCCCGGCTGCGTGCCCGCTGCTGCTCGCCCAACTTCTTTCTCTCCATAGCATCTCGCAAGAAGCTGTCATCGTATTCATCTCGACCGCCCCTCGCACCACCAGCGTGCCGCCGATCCCTCTCCATGTCCATCAGATCATCCCGGCTGCGGCTGCGTTTCCCCAAGAGGTCACTGTGGCCTCCTCCCTGACCTCTTCGGCGATCTTCAGGGGAGTAGTCACGACGCCTGCGGTCATCAAAGTCTCGGTCGGGGCCACCGCCGCGGGCACTGGTGCTCCACTCATCATCCGAACTGGAGAGACAAGGCAGCAAATTTAGAGGAAACAGAAGATGTCATTTGATTTCCTACCGAGTTGAGTTTAAGACAAGTTACAGTAGATATTAAAATATACCAGAGCTCTTTATTTAGCTGAAACTGCATTTGTAGGAGTCACCAGGGCCGCAGCACATAGCATAGCATAGCTTCACATTTTACTTGCTGACCTCTGACACATTGAGTAAAAACGTTCATCTAAGCCGGTTGTAGGGAAAGAAGGACACAGTCCCTCAACATGACCTGGTTCACAAACATAATTTGTTGTTTGAATCTATCATTTATTATGCTTAATCAAAAGTTTACAAAAAGGGGGGGGGGGGGTAATGCTAATGAGAAGATCTGGGAGATATGACTCACCCTCTCCTTCCTCTGGGATCACGGTGAGGGGAGTAGTTGTCTCGGTTGTAGCGGCGCCCGATGTCGTCGAGGTTATCCATGGAGCGGGCGCGTGTACGATCCCCCATGTAGCCTCCACCGTGCCGTGGGTAGTCATCACGGCGACGACCTTGCTGCGAAACACTGCTGATGGTGCTCATGGCTTCATCACGGTCGTAGACCGTGGCCAAAGGTGGTGGCTGGGAACGACCCCCGCGGCTTCGAGCCTCCACGCTATCGTGCAGGGAAGTGACTTCACTCATATTGTCCACTGAGGAAGGAAAAGAGAGAAGCAGAGAAGATAAGAACAGAATAAAAGAAATGGTGTCTGTTTGAACAACACATCAACTGAAGAGCTGTCTTTACTTGTCCCCACAGTAATCTGTGGCACAGCTGGCATGTAAGTGTGACGTGAAGAGCGGGATCAGTCACTCACTGCGGTTGAAGTTTGGTCTGGATGGGTCCAACTTCGCCAGCTCCTGCTCCATGTAGTAAATGGCACGTGTGGCGTTTCCATCAGGGTCCACCTGGATACGATACCCACTGCGAGCTGAGGAGCAGAGGAGAGGGCGTAAATAAAAGTAAATCATTGGGCTTCATGCATCAAGATTTCAATGTTAACTCATCCTGAACCTGCTCGTTCGAGTGTTGATAGTAAGATTCACCAGCTGGTGAAACTGTTGTGTGTTCATCTGATCGTGGAGTTTATTTTCTCTGTACTTCCTACCTTTAGCACAAAATACCTCACCCATACAAATACCACAACCATGAGTATGTGGGTGTGTTTTTACTCACTGTGGTCTCCTCCCCCACCTTGGTCATGCAGCAAAGGCACCTGGGAGCCATGTCCAACTGCACGGACAAAACAGAGTAAAGACTTTTACTGATACTCATGAGTGCATAATGAAGCTGCTAGAGAAATTCTTCATCAGGCCTTTTTCAGAAAAGTCTTCAGGTCAGTAATTCTCACCTGAGCTGGCACCATCATAATCCCGCCCGTAACCGTTCTGTGGAGGTGGGGGTCCAGCTCCATTGGGAAGAGGAAGCAGGGGTATCGAAGGCTGCATAGGAGCCCCGTACGCTGGCTGAGCGTACATACTGGGAGCATAGAGGGTGGGGGCATAGTGATTGGAAATGCCTTTCTTCACTGCTTTACCTGCCTCATACACTGTGAGATAAGGGAAGACAATTAGTTGCAGTGGAGAGAAATGTAAAGTCTTACTGTTAAAAATTAAATAAACTTTCATTAACTGTAACTGTAATAAATTGAATTTATAAACTTTGTGGATCGCTCTGCTGCACAGGCTCCGTGCTCTAGAATAAAAGTACAATATGAACACAGAGAGAGACTGTCTTCACTCATGTCTACTTTGCAACAACACAACAAATAAAAGAAAAGAATACAAAAACATAAAGACAAATATCTCAGGATGAAAAAGAGGAGGCAATTGGAATTATACATAACAACACGCTTCCTGCATGCTCTACCCAGGCACCATCCATCACCAAAATGTTCCTTCAATTTTCTATATCCTCAGCACTAGCATCACTGGAATCAGAATTTAATTTAGTTTTGATGTAAACCTCTGGTACTCGGATTTCACTCAACATGCTTCTGACACTTTCTTTAGTAGTTGTACTCACATGCCCGTGGGCAGCAGCAGCGGTCGGGGCAGCAGGGGCAGCTGATGTAGCAGCAGCAGGTATGTGGACAGCACTGACACCAGCAGATCCCAATCATCAGCAGCAGCAACAGGAACCCGATAACCACCAGCACAACCAAGAGCCAGTCTGTGTGGACCAAGAGGGAGGGTATTATTTATATAACAATACTTTTTTATATATATTATCTTAAATATTACTACAATTAAAGAACACAGGCATCACACTTAGGTCCGTTTTTTAGACAGGGGCTCTGTTTATTGAAAACTTTTGTCTTCATCGGAGGAAGCTGCCTTATACGATGCTTTATTTCCTCACTGAAACCATCAATATGAAACAGCACTGAGTGCCGAGTAGTACTTGTAGGTCACAGTGTCAGCAAGTTGACACGCGTCTCAGCTGCTGTGATCCCATCTCCAGATGGTCTCTACTTCAATGTTTGTCAAACCAGTAAAGCCAGTTCTTTCAAGGCCAGATTTCACTCTGCATGTTCGCTCAAGCAGCTCATGCCACAAACATAAAATACAGAAACACAAAGTGCAAAGAGAGAAGAGATACTGTGTGTTTAACTGAATCAACTCTAATGGAAACTGGGTAAGCAAAGCACAGAAAAAAAATTGAAAAGAACACATTATTTGGCTGTGTATGCTGATATGGAATTATGTGCGAGTGTTCTTTTGTTGCAGCTGGACAGCCACACACTATCAGCAGTCACTACTGAAAGTCACACATGGGAGCCGAGCCACATTAAAGAAAGAAAAATGGACGTATAGTCACAATGAGAGAGTGTGAGGAAGAGAAAATAAAGGAAAGAAGTGTGCAAATTGGTTTTGCATAATCTTATCACCTCCACCAGGGAGGGAATGCTTTCATCTGTTGTTGTTAGTTACCAATTGCCATGAAATTTTACAGACGGTTGGGACATGACAAAAGTCCAAAACATTTTGGTGCAGATCCTGATCAGGGGACGGAAATTGGCTTTTTTCAACATTTTTGTTGATTTCTCAGATAATATTTCATGGAAATCAGGCATGTTTAGGGGACTTACATTTATGAGTGTGTGAAATTTGTTGGAGCTTGTTGAATTTAAGAAGACTGTCGGACCCTGACAGAGGTGTGGGCTCTACTGAGAGCTTGTTCATTTTTTACCCCACAACAGTATATTTAGCTTAAATTCAGGTCATAGTTTTATAGCTCCTTCTCTGTAATTTTGATATGAAGAATACTGGCCTGAAATCTACTATTTTAACATCATGCAATGCAGTTTAGATGTGTAAGACATGTTTGCCATTTCCACCACCTTATCAACTACATCTCACCCACCCCCATACCTGTGGTAAATCATGGCTGAGCTATATCAAGGGGCTTGTAATACCTTCCATTACCAGCAACTCAATCCCAGGTAGAAGGTCAGAATTATTTGACTTTCTCTCTGTGAAAGAAAGATAAAGCCACAATTACTTTAAAGTGCCCCGTGTTATCGGTCTAAGTTTTACCCCCTACAAATTATGATAAAGATTTCTTTGAAACCCGGGTGTTGGCTAGCATCACCTCTCTTGATTGTAATTCTGACAGCTGTGCCACGTTCACAATGTGTCAGCTTATAGTTGCAGAATGGTGTTAACCAGAAGAAAGGGGGAATCACAGACAGGAAACAGTGGCAGAAAGTGTCTCCCAGACATACTTCATGCACTTACCAAGAACAATTAGCTCTGTGTAGTCATCACCATTTCCTGAAAGGTCCTGAGAAGAGATCACAGAACAAACGTAGACGCCGCTGTCGCCCCATGCCGTCTGTGCAATGTTCAGGTCTGCATCTGTGACAAACAACAGATGTACGGGTTTGATGTTTGTTCACAGAGGGAAAAAAACTATTCTTACGATCTTATAATGGTGGGATCTTAAAAGTATTTTACACTGGGGCATCTTTTCATCAGTTCTTCAGTTATAAGCTTCGCTTTATTTTGATAAATAAACAATGATGAGAGATCCAGAGATCATGTTAATGTGGCCTTGTGCGAATCTTCTTTCACAAAGGTTTTTCTTTGCTTGTTAGCAAAATAAAATGTCATTTTTAACAAATTTTTTAAAGAGACTTTTAATCGAAGTGAACAAACACTCTCATTCAGAACCTCACACGAGCGACTCGTCATAAACCCACTGGTCTCTGTAGGTCGCCTCCGCATTCTGAACAGAAACTATTAGAGTGACGAATAAATCTTTGAAGCTTGACACTCTAACATCTTTATTTATCAGGCATAGATTTTATCTAAAGATGGACCACATTTCTCCACTACCTCCCACTAACCAGAAATGAAGGCCTAGGAATGGAGTTGTGGCCGACCAATCAGTTTCAGCTGTCAATAAATACATTTCACCCCATATTTACAGCCCTAAATTACTAATTAAACCCAAACTTTACTGATAGAAACCATCTCTGAGAAACATTTGACATGTGCTTTGATTTTTGCCATCCACCCAGCGGGAGGGGGACGTTTGGGCTTCACCTCACTGGAGTTGTCATGATGTCAATCTTTATATACAGTGTATAGTAAAAAGTCAGACAAAGTTCTGATGAAGTATTGTTATACTGTTGACTGAATAAAGCTTTTACGAATTTCAAATGTTTTATTTAAACTACAATAACACATTTTTAATATATCTGTCAATTAAACACCCAGTTTGTTCCATGCATGTGAATGGGCCTTCACAGTGTAAGTTTGAGTGTAACTCACTGTTTATGATGCTGATCTTGCGGCCCTGATACTCTGCACCGAGAGTAACCGCATTGCTTTGTTTGGAGGCCACTATGCGCACCGTCCTCTGGCTGTCAGCACACTCAATGTTGGGGTCGTAGTTGGGGTTGTTCTGAGACAGGATGTTCTCTGCACTGCTGGGGTTCAGCGCGGCCTGGATGGGGTCCCGGCAATACGATTTGTACTTCCATGTGATTACAGGCGGCTGACTGGCAGTCGTCTGGAAGTCACAGGTGAGGGTGACGGGCTGGAAGAGGATAACGATATACCTCTTTTTGGGGCACTGGACAGAGATGGCCATGGTGGACTCTACAAAAAAATTACATATAATGGAGATTTACATGAATGAGACTTGATGGTAGATGATTATTATAACAATTATTACAATGTTAGTCATATTTATAATATTGGTTCAAGGCCCATAATTAGTCTGCAATACCACGTGGGTGTGTTACATGACAAACAATATTTCTTCATCACTACTAGTATCGACCAAGAGTGGGTGTGATGAGTCACCTCAGACGGGATTTATGTTTCCAGCCGGAACTTTACAGCCAGGTAAATAAAAATACTTAGAAAAAATAATAGATTTTCTGAGAGGAGGAACAATTTATTCCAGAGTTTAGATTAACACTTAAATCCATTGACTTTGGTCCTATAATGAGGTTTTACAGTGAGTAACAACAACACAGACTGTCAATGGAGATGCTCCCCTGTAATGACATTTATCTGCTCTGATTTAACAACAAAGAAAAGCCTGAAAAGAACTATATGACACAGCAATACACAATGTGCAATAAGTGTGGTTTTAAAGATGGAACGTTCACCTTTCAAATTTGATGAATAACTACATAAATACAGAAACTAATAAATGGACAGAAATAGAGAGTTTCACATGTTTTAATAAAAAAGAAACTTCACTGGATTAACTTAGGATATTTATGTGTAGAACTGCATATATTTGTTTGGTGGTTTCACTTATTGCATATAGTGAACGATGTCTAAATTTTAATGTTTTATCCACCATCAGTCAGCTCTGACTCAAACTTCTTCACTAAAGTCAATATGAAAGTGACAAGTTGATACTGGTGGAAATGTGTCACCACGTTTGATTAAATGATCAGAATAACGTTGTAAAACATTTAATATGTGATAAATATTCAACACGTTGCTTCCTTTTCTATAACTTTGTATTAGCACGCTGTCTTCAGGGTAGGCCTATTAGTTATATTTTGTTTATATAAATATTTTCAACATTCATCAACGATTGTAGATAGTTTTAGAGTAAATACTTGTGAATTGTGATAACTGTACTGTATATTTTTGCTGCGTATTGTAATTTATACCGGATATGATCTGAAATAAAGCTTAACTAACTAAAATGACTTTTGTCTGTGTAAGAAAAACAACAATTGACCGGAAGAAGCGGTTTTATTTTGAAGTAACAGGTGGTTACGTTGTGTTTATGTGGTAGTTACATTAAAATCCACACCAAACCATCACCTGCTGATGAGTAAAGCGCAGACAGTGAAGATATTCAATAAAAACAGAGGCAACGCTCGGAGAAAGTGGAGAAAACGAAGCGGTGTTTATCAGCGGACTTTTCCCGGAAGTGGGCCCACCCTGTTAGAGAGGAAGAAAAAACAGGCGAAACTCACCTGTCGCCATCAAAGCGGCGATTATCAGCGTCCACAACATTTCAATTCCTCGTTTCCCTTCGTCTCGGTCGACGCAACTATCTTGAATTCGTCAGATGCTCCAGCGAAGTCTTCAGCTTGAGCACAATATTTCAGCGCAGACGCACTTTTCCTCAGCCAGGTAGCGTCGCCTCCATTTTGTGGCGGGAGGGCGGGGGCTACCTGACCGCGTCACCTCGGCGGAGCAGCCCACAGGTGAGCGACCACAGGCGGGGTGTAGAGATCCAGGGGTCGGGGCTGGGGGGGCTTGTTTTGGTCCGTGGTGGGTTTATTCGAGCGCACGCACCCGATGGTAAGAGAGAGAGACTCAACACTTGTGATTCAGAAACAGAAATCATTGTCGACGTAGCTACGTATAGCGTAGTGGTTTGACCGAGGAACAGCAGCGTCTCCCCCCATAAGTTGGTACGATCCTGACAGCGATAACGCGATCAAAGTACTGTTTGTTAATGTTCAACCCGCGTGCGTGCGTGCGCGCGTGTGTGTGTACTCGTTTTTGGTGCCTGCTCAGGACCTTTCCCCATAGCAACACCTGCTTTGTCAGGACCAGGGGACCTCGTGGGGACAAAAGCTCGTTCTTGTGCCTCCATGTTGATACAACTAACCACTACACTGTTTTTAGTTCCTTGGCTGCAACGTTCTATTTTCTGCAACAGTCCATTGCCCCCTTCTGTATGCATACTGGTAATCGGGACGCACTCAGCACAAATTCAACACACATCATCAATCAATCAAATGTATTTCTATAGCACTGCATCACAACAAACAGTTGTCTCAGGGTGCTGCACAAGATCTGAAAAAAGACAGAATCCAACTTGTTCCACACCTAGCAAGCATGAGCAAAAGCAGGGAGGAAAAACTCCCAGGTGGAAGAAACCTCC